AGCTTAAAATTCATAAACAGTGTACTGTGTGGTATGAACAACTTTTGTAAAATTGTGATGGCATTTAGGGGATAGAGGTTGATTCTGATTACTAAAACACATTCAGAAAATTCTGTGTCTCTATGTCTATACCTCTATGGCATACACCTCTGCCCCCTCCTCTCCCAACAACACAGATAACCAAGACCTAGCATAAATGATACCTCCTTCAAGAAAACCGCCTCCACTTCCCTGTACAGAACTTGTGCTTCAGTCTCCTTGCTCTGACACTCTGTTTGGTATCTACTGTACTCTAATAGTTGTAATACCATATATCATATTTTCCAGGTATGTCTTGCCCTCTGGTCTACGAGTGCCTCATAGATGGGGACCTGTCTGATGCATCTTTATATCTCATGCCAGACAGAATGTTTGATACATAGGTGGTAAGTAGAGTTGTCTTGAATGAACGAATGAATGAATGAACGAATGAAGTGACTTTCACTCAGCAGGTTACCACTTTTGACCAAGCTTTGCTTTGTCCACTAAGTATGCCAAAGAGGAGTCCCAAGGAGTTCAAGGAGTCCAGGCTTATCCCTTCCCTTTTTTGTTATTAGCATTCATCGCAGATAGACATAGTCCCAACACACTCCCTTTCCATTCAGATTCAAGGAAGGGGAGGAAGCAGGCTGGAGAGGCAAAGGCAAAAGAGAAGTCAATCCCATAACTGGCAGGAGCCACATGATTTCAAGTACAGCTGCAACACAGGCCTTACAAATAGTCTAAAAATTTCCAGGGCTTAAGTTACCTAATTCTAGTAATGGGGGAAAGACATAATCCTGGCAAAGGATTACTGCAAAGAAAATAAAAATTGAATAGTGGAAACAATATAATAATAACAACTAACATTTATTGAGCACTTACTGTGGGTCAGCTACTATTCTAAATAATTTTAATTTTACTGTAGCTTTATAAATGGTCCTGATATCTGATAGAACAATTCTCCCATCTTCCTGTTCTTCAAGAGTATTGTGGCTACTTTTGGTTCATGGCTCTTCCATATAAATTTTACAACCATTTTTTCAAGTTCCAATGAAAAAGAAAAAATCCCTGTTGAGATACTGATTGGAATTGCATTGAATTTATAAATGAATTGGAAAGAAACAATGTCTCGTGATATTGAATCTTCTAATATATCGAATAGTATACCTCTCTGTTTAATTAGATCTTCTTTAATGTCTTTCTGTAAAGTTTTATAATTTACTTCATAAAGATCATACACATCTTTTGGTAGATTTATTTAGAGGTACCAAATTTTTTGTTGCTATTATAAATGGGATATTCTTTTTTCTGTTATATTTTCTATTTGTAGGTGGCAAATAGTTTGTATAATAACATATCCAACCACCTTCTTATTAATTCTGTAAGAAGCCTGTAGATTCTTTGAATTTTCTGGGTAGAGACTCATACTATCTGTAAATAATGACTAATTTGCTTATTTATTTCTTGCCATACTCGAAATCCAATAAAATGTTGATGAGAAACGACCATAGTGGGTGTCCTTGCCTTTTCCTGGTATTAAAAAGAATGCTTCTAAGATTTCACCATTAAGAATAATATTTACTGTAGGATAGGGTTTTTTTAATACCTTTTAATTAATACCTGGTTAATGGAATGTCTTTCAATATTTAGCTTCATGAAATTTTTTAAAATCATAAATAAGTTTTGAATTTGTCAAATGATTTTTCTGCATCTATTGAATTGATTTTTTTCTTATTCAATCTCTTGATATGATTAATGGCATCTATAAATATTTGAATGTTAAACCACCCTTGCATTCCTAGAGTAAGCCCAATTTAATCATGATCCATTGCCTTTTTTTATACACTGCTGGATTTGGGCTTGTTAATATTTAGTCTAGAATTTCTTCACCAATGTTCAGAAATGAAATTGGCCTATAATTTTCCTTCTTGTACTGTCCTTGTACAGAACAAGTAGGGAAATATCTCCTTTCTAAATACTGGAAGCATTAGTATAAGACTGAAATAATTTATTCATTAAAGTTTGGTAAAAATATCTGGGCCTGGTATTTTTTGTGGGAAGATTTTAGCTACTGATTTCATTTACTTTTTCTATATTTTCCTCTGATGAGTTTGAAATTATAGAATCTATTTCTATTCTTTCAGTCGTTACCCTTGTAATTTTTAAATTTCACTTCCATCTTTGTCAAGGATACATGTGGACATGGCTTAGAATCAAATAGATCTATGAACTTGTTATGTAAAATAGCAGTTCCCTGACCCTTACCCACAGCCCCATTTCCTGATCTCCAGAGGTAAATGCTTTCAATTTTTTAATTGATTCTTTTGGTGTCTATGTCCATATCTCTACATAATATGCTTACACTATCACTTTTTGATTGTTCTGTTTCAGACATTATCTATTGCCTTTCCATCTGGAAAATAACTACTTACACTTTCACACGTGCCCCATAACCTCTTATAACCCTTTCACAAGTGCACAAACACTATCCTCAATCCTTACAATAGAGTTATTTGAATTTTAGGTAGGAGGTGCTGGTTTACACATATTTGGTACCTACACTCCAGTATATTTAGTTTAACTATACTCCACTCCCAACTGTGCCTGCCACTCCCCAGCCCAGAAATCATATGAATTATCCTATCCACAGGAAATCTTCCAGTTGGGAAAGGAAAGCTGGGAGGCTAGCACAGAAAGCCTTTCAACTACTCCTCCTTTTGTTGCCTCACCTTCCCTCCACTTCCAGAGGTTCCTAGTGATGCCAGCTCCTGCACCTTTTGAGGATTCCTCAGCATAAATAAGTTGCTCCTCAGCTTTCTCCATCTGGATGCCTATGATGTCATTTATTTCTTCCAAGTACACATTGCATTTCTGATAGTTTCTTGTTGCTTTCCTTTTTATATAAGTACATATGTTATTTCTTCAAGCAATTTTATATGATCAATTTATGTTCTGCATCTGGTAATTCTAAAATCTGAAGTCCTTAGGAATCTAAATTATTTTTTATTTTTTCTGCTGACTCCTCATGCAACTTAGAACTTGGCATTTCCAGGTTGTCTAAGACAGTTACCACTCATCCACTGGCTTTCCATCTTTCTAAATTTGGCTGCTATTGTTTCCTCATTTGTTCCTATAGGTTTATATCTTTTAAAAACATCCATTTATCGCCAGGCTTGTGATTTGCGGAGGGGAGTGAAAATAAATGTATACCTTCAATCCGTGTTTAATAGGACATTCTCCATCCTTAAATTTTTTTCTTTATATTTAAGTTAAATTCTAAAGTTAATCAAAACCATAACACTCTCTCCTGAACACCCTTCCCAATTTACATTCTATTTTCATCCCTCCCAATTTGTATGCTACTATTGCCTATAATTTAACTGTAATATTTTAATCCCCACAATCAGACATCATTATTTCATATAGATTTGTTAGATTACCAGTTTCTTTGCTTACTGGACCTTCTTCTATTTCAGACCTTACTTCTGGAGACATTTTTCTCATTCCTTTAGAATAGCAGTCTCGAAGTGTGGCTTATGGACCTATAGGGTCCCTGAGACTCTTTTAGGGGTCCACAAGGTCAAAACTACTTTCACAATGATACTAAGACATTGCTAGTCTTTTTCACTGCATTGACATGACGTGATAGTGCAAAAGCAATGGTGGGTACAAGTGCTGCTCTCGTAGCACGAATCAAGGCAGTGGCACCAAACTACGCTAGTGATCACATGTGTTCTTCACTGTCACCCACTCAGTAAATTTCCTAAAATGCTAGTTTCACTTAACAGTATGCTTGGTGAAGCAGAAAAATAAATATTAATTTTATTATATCTTGACCCTTAAGCAAGGTCTTTTTAATATTCTCTGTGACCAAATGGAAGTACAAAAAGCACTTCTGCTGAATACCAAAGTATGATGATTGTCTCAAGAAAAAGCACTTGTGTGACTGAGTTGCAAGCTGACGCAACCAGTTTTTTCATGGAACACCATCTTTGTTTAAAAGAATGACTGACAGATGAACTATGGCTATTCAGACTTGGATAATTGGCAGACATTTTCTTAAAATTGAACGAAGTGAGCCTGTTACTTCAAGGAAAACAATGGACAGAATTTGTTGCCAATGATAAAACTCAAGTTTTCAAGCAAAAATCAGAATTTTAGAAAATTTATATTTCCCACCATGAGTTGACAGCTTCTCAGTACATGTACTTTTCTAACCAAATCAGTGGTGATATTAATGAATGTGATTTTTGCATCAATGTTTGGAAGATCTGCATTACTCAATGTACCAATATTTTCCAAATCACCTGTCCATGATGTTACAAAATCACACATACATAAAAGATCCATTTAAAGTTTAAGAGAGACAAGTGAATTTAATGTAACAGAATATGAAAGGTTTTTGACATGGCTTTCAAATTCCACATTGCAACTAATCATTAGGAAACTACTATTTGTTGAGTTTTGGTGTTGTATCAAGAATAATATCCACCATTATCTGAAAAAGCTACTAAAATACTTTTCCCTTTTCCATCTACATATCTATGTGAGGTCATATTTTCTTCATACCTTCAATCAAAACAACATAAAACTACAGAATGGATGCAAAACCAGATATAAAAATCTAGTCTCCTATTTACCCAAACAATAAAGAGATTTTCAACAATGTAAAACAATTTCTCACCAAGACTTCTGTTTTGGAAAATAATTCATTTTTCCTTAAAGTATTTATTTTCATTAAGATCAAATGGGTTTATTATTTTTTAATGAGTTAATAAAATTTTTTAAATTTCTGTTTTAACTTCTCATACGCTAATTATCAATAGATATAACCCAGATATACAAAAGTTCTTTTGGGTCCTCAGTAATTTTTAAGAATGTAAAGGGGTTTTGAGACCCAAACTTTGCTTTAGGAGTTTTTCTATTGATGGCCTATTGGAGATAAACTCTCATAGTTTCTATCTCCTTGTCTTTCTGTGCTACATTCTAGGTAATTCCTTTCAATCCACCATCAATAATTCTCTCAATTGTTTAATCTGATGTTTAACAAACTCATTAATTGTTAAAATTTCAACAATTATATTTTTCCATTTTGAAATTTGTTTGCTTTCTTTTCAAATCTTCCTCCTTATTTTGGACAGTTCCTTATTGCTTTCTCATTTCTGGGAGATACGAGGTTATTTCTTTAAACATTTCATACATAATCATTTGATATTCTACATCTGATAATTCCAAAATCTGAATTCATTAGGGCTCCAAATCCTTTGTTTACTGTTTCTGCCAAGTGTGCTCATGGTGAGACAGAGACTTTTTCTTCTGTCACTTTGGTGATCTTTGTGAATTTGTATCTGGTAGATCTTAATCTACTATGGGAATCCTGAGGGCCAATTGAGGTTGCCTTCCTCCAGAGCAGGTGTTCCCTTGCTTCTGCAGGGGGCCAGGGAATGCTAGACCTGGAACGAGCTTGTCCTCCTTCCAGGGTCTGAACTAACATAGGAGTCTCAGGTTCCGTTCACTCGCCTTGCATTGGGCACAAAGCTTAGTCTCCTGACTGCATTTGCTTACTGCTCACTGCATCTCCTACTCAAATTTCAACAAACTATTCTTTTTTTTGCACCATTGGACATTTCCTTCCTTTCCTACAAAGCTAGCACTGCATGTGAAATTGCGTTGTTACTCAAGCTCATATATATCATAATGTAATCAAAACACAACTTTATTTTTGCCTCCCACTGTTCCATTAGGCTTTATTTAGCAGTAGTAATGTTTCCCTGTGCCTGGATGAAAAACAGACTGATTCAGAAACTAAAATGTTCAATTCAGTATAATAATTATAACTCTGGGCTTGACTTAGCAGTAAATCTCCTCCCCTCTCAGCTTGCTTCTGCTTCAGGCTGAAAGCCTACAATGAGAAAGGGGCTGATTGGCTTCTCCAATTCACTGCCTTGGGCTTCTTTTTTCCTCCTTCCTCTTCCCTCTGCTGAGCTGAAGTTTTGATGTCCTCAGGGTCAAAGCAGGAGGATGGCAAAAAGAAACGGGACAAAACATTCTTAATTGAACTGACATCCTTATGATCTGAAGGTTAATGAGCTCTTCAGACTTACTACCAGTGGACATCTTTCCCTTACAACTTCTAGTCCCAGGTGTGTGCCTATCTAACCTGAGTGGCCATTTATAATCCTTCCCCCCCAACCCCCGCCTAGTCTTTGTACATCAGTGGTACATAACCAGCCTCTATCTTCTGAGAGCTTCTCATCCCTTCCAGATGGTAGGCTCTAAAAGAAACCACACTGGCTCTTTCTCCCAGGTGCCCACATATAGTCTCTTTAAAACAATGAGATAGCATTTGCAAAAAAAACCCCAAACAAACAAAACCTCAAGGACAGCCTCTCCCCATGTCTGCCACAAGAGTGGTTAGTCAGCCCTTCTCTCACCCTCTAGATTTCCGATATCAGAATCAGATTCCAGGCCACACACATCAAAGCTCTCCAGATGGTGCCCTGGAAGTCCTCCGCACTGGACCTGAGATGAAGAGGAAGTATCTCCCCCTGTGTGGGGGGATCAGTGTGATTGATCACAGTTTTCTCCAAAGACATCCTCCCCATTTATCCTTTCCTCTTTCCATACGATGATCCCTTTTCATATCCTTGATTTACTACCTCATGGATGCGGTTCTCAGAATTTTCACTCTCTTTGGTATCTATCATATCGGTGTTTCAGTCAAAACTCCAGGGGAAGAATTTCAGTCCAACATCCTGTTACTCATCAATAAATGTGCTTTATCCTAGCTGAGTATTTAGTCCGTCATAGTGGAGGAAGAAGAAGCATGTTCTAATAAAATTAACTTAATTAACATTTAAATTTTGTAAATGTATGATAAAATGCCTTAAAAATAAGGCTGCAGTACTGACTCATACACTGAAGGCCCTGGGCTGTGAAGAACAGTGTAGTCACGCCCACAAATCAATGTCATTTCTGGAAAATAATGATCAAGTACACTACAGTGAAGGACCTGCCTTCTTCATTATGCATCGTGCTCCCTGTACCCTGGTACATGAGTGCATCTCAGCCCACTTTTACCTCATTTGGATGCACATGAGGCTGTTTATTCCTCCAGATACACGTTGCATAATTATTTTCCGCTCTAGTAAATGAATAGCTTAATTAGCTCTTTAATTTGATTTTAAGAGCTGAAAAATGTAAGTAATAGTGCATTCTTTTTAAAAAATATTCTAAATAATCACACTGTGTGACCAGTTCTTACATATGCAAACTGTACAAAAAGAACAGCAAAAAATAGAAAAAAGCAACAGCTACTAAAAGCTATTTTTGACAATTAACAGGATTTCTCTTGTTTACATTAGAGGAGAAATAGTACAAAAGTAACTGAACACATGCCAGAATAATTAGCTGCTCTTGGCTCATTTAAATTATGTGCACATTGCCATCTTAATGCATTTTTTAAACACCCACTTGCAATTCTATTTTATTCTCGGAAGAAAATTAATAGCTTTCTACTAGGTATGACTAATAAAACCAAATTTGTTTCCTATTTTCTTAGAAAACATATATCTTCCTGGTTTTATAGATGTACTTTTAATAATAATTAAAAACATAAAATAGTAATTGCACTTTGTATTTCTATGATACTTCTGCATGAAAACTGGAGGCATTCTTTCATGTAAGATAATTCCTCTATAAGAATATCATGCTGTTTCTTCATGCTCACTATATACCATGTTGATTCTAAGGATCATCTAATATTAATAATAAGAGGATTAAGACTGTGATTTTCCTTTTTCAGAAAAATATCCCCGTGGTCCCCTAAAAACAAATTCAGGACATGAATTTTACACATTTTCTTCTAAATCTAAGGTCCCTGGTGATTAGTTACAAAGTGGTAATTAACGAGAAGGGCTTGTATGAGCATGTTTTGCATCCTGGGTGATAAAAACAGGAAGCAAAGAGAAGAGATAGCCACTTCTCCTTTGAAGATATAAATGTAGAAAATTTAGTCATAAGGACAGCAGACCCACTGACCTGAAAGCTATAATCCAGACCAACAAAATCCTTGTCATTAAATGTTACAACATACATAGCTCAGTTAAATATCATGATATGCCTCACTCAGCCTTCAAAATATGTGGAAAACATTAACACAACCTGTCCACTGTTATCCTGGGCCCCATCTGCTCTGGGGCCCAACCAGATGTCATGTGAAACAACAAATGTAGCTATGACATGACCTGAGCCCTCCAGAGGCTTCCAGTCTATTGAGAGACATGACTGGTGCATAGGTAATTATTATATCTCAAGGTGAAGAGTTAGAAATTCTCTAAGATCAATTTAGACAGAATGCTGTGGAAATTCACAGAAGGGAGCTATTACTTCTGCAAAGAGGGACTGGAGAAGGCAAACACAGTCCTCAACCATATGGCCAAGTAAGGCCATGAAAGCATATGGACCTTAAGAGGGGCCCTTTCAGGCTAAAGTGAACATTCATCACACTCAATCATTGGGCAGGAACGCAGTCCTACTTCATTCACACCAATGTGTGCACAAACTTTACAAAAGTAAAACAAGGGCAGACCTGTCACAGAAATGTCTATAAGCAAAAGAGCATGAGGCAAGGTCAGAAAATATGATCAGGTGATCCAAAAAGACAAAAGCAGGGACACTGGTGGAGTAATTAGTCTGACACATAACATTTTACATTGGGCCTCTTTAGCTCTAGAATCAAGTCTTAAGTAGGATATTTTCGAAGGTGTGGTCTGCTCATGTAGTATTAGGGAGCTGTCATGTGAGGGATGAGTCTGCGTGTCATATGACATTTCCATGCTCTCTCTGACGCTAAGAATGAGGAACCACTAGAATGTACATTAAGACCCAGTGAGTGGAGGAGACTATACTACCGTCAGCTCAAGAAGACCGAGGTTTTCTGCCTTCCATTGGTATATTCACTTCCCTCTTTGCTTTGAAAGAAAAAGACTAATTATAATAGTGTCATCTTTATTTTTAGAGGCTTATCCCTTCTTTTAATGATCTACAAATCAAGCTACAATGGTGGATCTCAGACACATCACCAAGGTCCTTGAAATTATGGATTCATCATTTTCAAGATACGTGTGCAGTAACAACATTCATATTATTTTATCACATCTTTGACAACAAAATAACATGTATAAAATATTCTCTTTAAAACCAATACCTTTTGCAGAAGTATAGAGAGCTGATTATATATTTTAAAAATAGCTCTTCTAACACATGTAGCAACTAGTTTGTGAGCTGGTTTAATTTGACATGTGAAAATTAATCAACATTCTATCTTTGATCCATGCGTGTAACTGCTTTGATTTCAGTAGAATCTGTCTTTGAGGGCCAAGGGTAGAAGTACTCCATAATTATCTTTACCAATCCAGTTGCTATATTTATTACAAAAGCCACTTTACCTTCCATGCTGATTTTTTGAAGCTCAGAGTGCATGCATTATATTCTACTGAATTTGTTCCTTCCGTATGCAGAGTACAAAATCCATCATGAAATTTGTAATATAAAATTGCCAGAACAAGGATCTATCTGAATTGATGAAAGAGACCATTCCTGAATATTTCAGAGGGAGATACAAGTTTATATTTACTTCTTTAGTGTATAACTCAGGGTGGAGTGAAAGACCCTCCATGGTCTCATTATCATTTGGCAATAATATTGACAACCCTTATGTTTTTGTCCCATCCTTCAAAATGCTCGTTTTAAGCTTTTACAAGTTTCTCCCTAATCTTTTTCCAAAATTTACTCTACTACTTGCCTCAGCAGTACCCTCTAGCCATGGTCCAACAGTGTAACATGGGACTTAATTAGATGCTTAACCATGGAAAAAGGCACTTCTCACTTCCAAAACCAGAAGAGTAGGTAATGAGACAACCACTACCAAGAAAATTAAACCAGTTCACAGAGCTCTTTTCTTATAAGGCATCAGTTAAAGTTACTCAAGCTCATAGCAAAATAAATTGAGCTGGATGTCATAGGATCTTTTTTCATTATTTTTCTTCAGAAAAGAACCACAAAGTCTGGTATTCCTTTTTTGACGTAGACGTGAAAAAGAGCCCAGGGCTATGCCCAGGAGAATCAGAAACGTTTTAGACTTGTTTTGCTATTAAAACCTGCCATCAGACACAGTTTATCTGCAAAGTAGATGTCTCTTTTGGCACCGACTGACAGTCTTACTAAACTAGTGACACCATGAATATAATCTTCAGGAGCCAAGACTCTGAAATCAGCTCATATCACTCAATTTTTTTCTATTATAAGAATTTACTCCTTCTACAAAAATTAACTCAAAATGGATCACGAACTGAAATGTAAAACATAAAAACTACAAACATTTAGAAACAAGAAAATAAGAGAAAAACTACGAGTCTAGGAGTAGGCAAAAAGTTCTTAAACTTGACACAAAAAGCATAAAAGGAAACCTTGATAAATTGGACCTCATCAAATTGAGAACTTTTGCTTTGGAAAAGACCATGTGAAGAGGATGAAAAGCAAGCTACAGACTGGGAGAAAATATCTGTGAATGACCTATCCACAAAAGACTAGTATCTAAAAAATATAAAGAACTCTCTGAATCTAACAGTAAAAAAACAAACAATTAGAAAATGGACAAAAGACATGAACAGATATTTCAATGAAGACGATATACAGGTGGTAAATAAGCACTTTAAAGGTGTTTAACATCATTAGCCATCAGAGAAATAGACATTAAAACCAACCACAATAAGATATTACCTCACACCTATCAGAATGGCCAAAATAAAAAATAATGGCAGCATCAAACACTGGTGAGGATACAGAAAAAAATGGATCACTCATGGATTACTGAGGGGAATGTAAAATGGTACAGTCATTCTGGAAAACATTTTGGCAGAGTGGCAGGCTGAATGATGGCCCCAAAAATATGTCCATGTCCTAATCTCCAGAACCTTTGAAAATATTACTTTATATGACAAAAGAGACTTTTCAGATGCAATTAAGTTAAAATCTGGTGATGGGGAGATTATCCTGGATTATCTAGTGGGGGCAATGTAAACACAAGTGTCCTCATAACAGAAGGCAAAATGTCAGAAGAAGAAAAGATGCTACATGCCTGGCTTTAAATATGGAGGAAGGGGCCACAATCAGCCTCTAGAAGCTGGGGGAGGCAAGGCATAGATTTTCCCCTGGAGCCTCCAGAAGAAATTAGATCTGCTGACCCGGTAAGACTCATTTCAGACTTCTGACCCCCAGAATTACAAGAGAGTAAATTTGTGTTGTTTTAGGCCACTAAATTTCATCAGCAATAGGAAACTAATACAGGCAATTTCTTATAAAATTAAATATGCAATACCATAGAACACAATAATTGTACTGTAGAGTGTTTATTCCAGAGAAATGAAGCACTTTTGTTCACACAAAACCCGTACACAAATGGTCATAGCAGCCTGATTTGTAATAGTCAAAACCTGGAAATGTCCAAGATGACCTTTACCAGGAAAGTTAAACAAACCCCGGTCCATGCATATACTTCTCAGCAATACAAAGGAGTGAACTACTGATACACAAAACAACTTGGATGAATCTCAAGGGAATTATGCTGAGTGAAAAAAGTCAATCTCAAAAGGTGACAGACTGTGTGATTTTATTTATCATTCTTGAAATGACAAAATTATAGAAATGGAGAACAGATTAGAAACAGAAAGTGTGGTAGGAGGGAGGGAGGTGGGTGTGATTATAAAAGGGAAACCCAAAAGATCTTTGAAACGGAATTGTTTAGGATCTTGACTGAAGTGGTGGATGCACAAACCTATACATGTGATAAACTGTATAGAACCTAATACACAGACACAAGTACAAATACAACTGGGGAAATCTGAATAAGAAAGGCAGATTGTATCAATGCCCATATCTTGGTTGTGATATTGTGCTATAGTTTTGCAAAAGGCTACCATTGGGGAAAAGTACACCAATATATAACTATTTGTAATTGATACAAAAGTAGGTCTATGAAAATGCTGACAGTACTTGGTTGTACGAGGAACATACAATGCCTATTAAAAAGGAAGATACCATTTTAGTACAGATAGTAATGAGTGCCTTTTTTAATTGGAATTTTATTGAGATAACTGTAGATTCATACACAGTTGCAAGAAATAATACAGAGAAATCCCATGTACCATTTACTCACTTTTCCTCATCGGTAGCATCTTGCCAAACTATAGCACAGTATCACAACCAAGGTATTGGCATTGATACAATCTACCTTCCTTATTCAGATATCTCCGGTTGTAGGTGTACTTGTGTGTGTGTGTGTGTGCGCGCGCATATGTGTCAGGTTCTGTACAGTTTTATTGCATGTATAGGTTTGTTCATGGAGAACAGATTAGGGGTAGAACGTGCGGTGGGAGGGAGGGAGGGAGGTGGCTGCAGTTATAAAAGGACAAAATCAGAACTCTAACAGCTGGATGCCGAGGATAGCTCTTAAAGTTACAACTGCCCATATTTGGGGATTTTGCTGGGATAATACTAGAAACTCCATCAACTTACCAGAAGTGTGGAAGAAGGGCCTAAATTCTGATTATGCCTCAGAAAGCCAAAGTCAGATTTCTGGTTTCTATGTTAGGCTCAGACATTAACAGTGAAAATGACATAGTGTGACCCAATGCCGCATCCACTAAAATGTCTCAGAATGCACTCTGGTGTCATCAGCATCCAGCTTGAGTGCTAACTCCATTAGGAATTAGCTTTTAGTTTCCTTACACTCTAAGGCTGAATCCTTCCACTACATGAAGCAATTCTATAGTCATCATGGTTAAGTATGCAAATCTTTCCAACTGCTGAGAAGTCAATATTTTCTCTATATTATAACCGCATAAACTGAGTCCTGGAAATCAGGATTATTTTCTCTAGTACCAACAGCCAGAGTCCAGGTTTCCTTCCTATCAGACAGAATGTTGCTCAAAAGAGCAGTTGGTCATATCTAGGAAACCAGACAACAAGGAAGGCCAAATCCCTGTACAGACTTGAGAATAAGGATGGCTAAGCAGCTGCAGGTTTTCAGTATAGCTTTTCTTCCCTTGACCTTGACCTCTGTGTCATCCCCTCTCCTTACCTGTGCTTTCACCTGACAATTACTTACACTGTCAACAACTCTGTCACATCCCCAGGGAAAAAGGAAATTATACTGGCCAAAAAGAATTCAGTCTCCAAGCTCATCCTCGTGAGTTTAAAAGTTTCATGTCCTTAGAAGTTTAACATCCAAGCCACCACTTTGGATAATGGTCTAAAAAACATGTTCTAAAAAAACAGCAGCCTGGTAAGATGTGTACCTCTGTTCAGTGTCTAACAACATGTGCTTTTGGTCACAGTGTCAGGCTTCCCAAAGAACAAGAAGGAATCAACTGCTTACCCTACTCTTAGTCCTCTCAGGGTTGCTTGAACCCCACAAAACAACTGGCCCCCAACCTCTGTGACACCTAGGCATGAAGTGAGAAGGATGGATCATACTATCAGCTATTGCATCTCTTAAATGAGTGTAATTTTTTGAAGGATACAATAGAGTCTGATGAAGGAATAAATATGGCACTCTGTAGAGCTGGCGACTGTGCCAAAAAAAAAAGATCTGTGCCAACATTAAGCCAATATATTACTCACCATTGACTATTTCCCCTGTCCATTCCAGGACATTCGTTGTCAGATAAAGTTTCACCCAAGTGCTATCATTTTGCAGCTGGTTGCAAAGACATGCATTGAAATGACATCAACTCTTTCCCATTCTCACAATCAGCTGAAACTTCCAGAGTGTGAGAAGCAGTTTTCTATATATAGAAAATCTTTCATTATAATGTACTTTGGCTGGTGTTTTTTAAGAGAGAGAGGTAGCTGACAATATTCATAACATTAAATCAAAGCCTAAAGCATGGCAGTAGAGGAGACTCCAAAACTCAGCTGTGTATCGTATCACAACGCTGACATCTGTCGGCTACAAGTGTATTGAATCTTTGTCTAGTCCCTCCTTTCTTGCGGCTGCAGAACAGCTCCTTCTAAATCAAATCTCTTGCTGGCCCTGAATCATTTCACGTATGTTATGTCCTTCGTCCCCAATAGATTGTAAACTCACGTTCATGGTTTCTCGTGTTAGCCCTTCAACTCTCTTATGAAACAAAACTTTATGCCATTTTTTAATTTATTTTCTAAAACAAAAATCAAACATCCATGTATGCAATAGCCCCATTAATCCAAGCGCAAGCTACATAAATGAGAACTGTCATTTTATTGATGATACAATTTTGAAATGTCACTTATGAGGAAGATTACAGACGTACATTTATATCACGTGTCCCCTACACAAATGCTGTTGCCATTCACCCCGCTAGCTATTCTCTCCTCCTAGATTCTCCCTTTCTAATCCTCCCTTCTTGACCCCATCTTCCACTGAATTCTCCTGTGATCCTACACTCCCCTTTTTCTTCCTCTGCCCACTAACTGTGGAGATCCACAAAGAACCCTGTCCAGTCCTCCGGAGGCCTTCTTGTAACCCTCAGTATCTCGGAGACTGTAACTAAGCACATGGTTTAATATCCTGTAGAGTAAGGACTCTCTGACCTTTCCTCTCCCATATCTCCAGAGCTTTCAAAGACTTGAATAATAAGGGATTACGTCCAAAGTCCCTTCTTTAATACTGCGGTTTTGTACCCTAGCAATATCTGTAGCTTTAACATTATAAAACTGAGCTATTGCCTCCCCTCTGAATCATCACCCCTTTCCAACTCTCTCATTTCTACCAAATTCAGCAGTATCCTCCCAGCCGCTCAATTGCAATTGGATGTGGTGTTTTAGCTGGCTCCTCTCTCTTCGCCCCCAAACATTCCCTATCCATTCCTGCAGCAGGAGTCCTGATCCCCAATCCCACTGCTTCTCACTTGGACAAAGACAACGCAACACTCATCCTCTTCCATGACACCAATTACCATCTATGTACTGATGACTCCCACATCCCCTTTTCCAGCCTAGACCTCTCCCCTAAACTTCAGACCCACATAATCCACATAATCCATAATTGGTCATCTTCACTTGGATATCCCCAGGTACCTGAAACTCTACGTATCCAAAATCAAATTTCTCTTCTTTCCTTTCTCCCCCACAACCTGCCTCCCTCTCTTCTGTTCCTTATCTCTGTAAATAGAGAGACCATTGACTTTGTTGTCCAAGGCAAAAGCCTGGGAGTTATTCACAACTCCTACCTGTCGCTCAGATATCATGTCCAGTCAGTCACAGAAGCTTAATTAATTTGCCTGTTGATTCCAGCTCCTGGGTTACTCTTTATTTCATTCACGTCTCACTGATCCAACTGTGTAGCAGAGGCCACTGTCGGACCACTCAGGATTTGTGCTTCTCTTCTGTAGTGTGGAATTGTCAAGGAAAGAGCTGTGCAGGCAGAAACTATATTTTCTAAGCCATAGTATCTGGAGTGGGGAAGAGGGCATATGATTAGTCTTTGCCCCTGGAATGTAAGTTGATGGTACTGGTACTCCTTAGCATTTATGAAGCAGACGTTCATTCCCAAGGCTCTTTCCTCACCCACCACCTGAATGGAGTGGGCTCATAGGTCTTAGAGGATGATAGGGCCATGAGATACAGGAAGCTTCAGTCTCTGAAGGAGCACTTGGAAGCCTGTCTACAAGGAATACCCATATTGGGCTGTGGCACAGCATGAAACAAATTTTTTGTTGTGTCAAGCCACTGAGAATTCTGGGCTTATCTATTACGAACCTAAAGCACTCTCTGACACTATCCAGTTCAAGCCACCATATTTCTCCCCCAGACTGTTGCAGGTGACTCTCAGCTGATCTCTGTGCCTTCAGTCTTTTCTGTATCCCTCTCTACATTGTAAGCTCCATGAAGGCAGAAGCTGGCGCGGCTCATTCACAGTGTATCCTCGTCATGTAGCACAGTACTTAGTATGCAATAAAAATGGCTAGGATCCTTTCTTCCCAATGACTCCCTAGCTCATACTCTCCTCTCTTGGTTTTTGTTACCTAATGCCTCTCTCACTATCTCTTATCCCAATGCACCTACATGCACAAATGCACTCGCACTCACATTTACAGAAGGTTGACTTAAGCCCTCTTCCAGTCCTCATGCTGCCAATTCCCTCACATCTCACCTCCTTCAGTTCCTTCCTACCAAGACCTTCTGCTCTTTTAAGTTGCTTATAGCTCAGCCCCTGTGAATTTTTCTCTGACTTCATCTAGTACTGATTATTCCAACATTTAGGCATCCAGTTATTTTACGTACCTTGTCCTAGACCTCTTCTTGCATTTGCAATAAATCTTTTGTGTCTGGCATGCATTCCTTCCCATCTCCTGTGCTATAACACACACTCTCTGAGGGAAGAACCAGATTCATTCATTTAGAGAGCTCCTCAGTGAATGCTTGGTAAACATCACCCACTGAATCCAATAATTTGCTTTGTATAATATTGTACCTAGCATCTTCTGGAGCACCCCTAGGTCCAAACTTTTTTTCTTAATATACTTCAATTTGATAGATTTTAATGGAAATTATACATAAACCTAAATAAAATGAAACACTGCAGTAACAGAGAGGAGTATCTGACTATTACCTCCTTTGTGACTACTTAGTTTTCTATAAAGAAGAAATGGATTGTTAGAGCACTAAACAAGCAGTTAGGTACCATGTATTATTATCATTGATAACAATTAATAGTAAAAATAATAATTTAGTGTCTATTAAACCGGTCCTGGCACATAGTAAATGCTCTATAAACATCCTATTTAATTCTAACAACCCTATAAAGCGGTCTTCTTGCTGTTTCTGAATTTTATCAGCTTCCTCCTGAGCTCCCTTTCTTGAAAGAGCCCATAACTGAGGAAGGGAGCTATACTCGAGGCATCTGAGAGGCTCATGGCTGAGGGCTTCCAAAAAGCAGGGGGTGTGGTGAGCATGGCAGAACACAGCTGAAGAAGAAGTGCCAGGGGTGATCAGCCTCAGAGAAGACTCTCCTATCTTCATAGAGTGGCTGCTGAGAAATTACAGGGAAATCCTACAGGTGCAATGCCTATCCCTGATGCAGACAGCATTATCTCTGCTGTAATTCACCCATCCATAGGCTCCACTCATCACATAGCCTACACATCAGTGTCCTACATTTGGTCTGCCAATTGTCACAGGTCATCTTAACCACACAGAAGCTGTGCATCCAGCATTCCTGGGATGCGGACACACAGGCCAGTCCAGGACCAAAATCTCTTCAAACCATTTGATTTAGCACTCCTCAAAGAGACATAACTTAGCTCTCAAGTAAATTTGTTAAAGCTTTCAGGCGTGCCTCACCATGCTTTTGAAAAATTATTTTTCATTTATGTGCTGTACATTATCACTCTGTGGGCAGGCATCATATATATCGTGCTGCACAAAAATAGTTGATTACTCATGAGTGACAGAGTAATTGGCACTACCCTAGTATTCAGCTATTTTTATGCATTATAATTACCAGCTTCAGTACACTAGACAGAATTTAATGTTCTTGAAAATTAATATTATTGAAGGACTTGATACAATAGAATGTAATGTTCTTAAATTAAAAACTTGTCACACACCGATAGAGTCTCACTTTGTGGATATTTATCAACATTTTATTTTAATCATTTCAAACCCCTTTATCAAGTTGAAGAGCCTGTAGCTCATGTCAATTCAGTACAACTGAATTCTAGTAAGTTTACAGTCTGAATTAGCATTTGCAATAGTATTATTACATGTTTAATGCTGTGTTGAAGACCCAGAAACTTTTGCTTACTGACCTGTATTTTGGCTGTGAGCTCCTTGAAAGAAAAACAAAGCAGTCATTTATATATGATCCTAATAAGTGCCTGGTGTGCTAAGGCTGCATGAAATATATGAAATAAGCAAAACAACATACTACAAGGATGCCTATGAACTCACTAGAAGAAATTCTATCTTCTGCACTGTTGTCTAGCTGAGATGCAGGAGAGAGACCCTCTCAGGATAAAAGATATGGTTGCAAAGCTGAATCAGGCTCTTAACCTAATGTCACCCTACCCAGGGTGATAGTACCAAGATAGGGTATCTTTCATTGTGCTTTTGATTGTATAAAGGGAGTCCACTCCTCCTTTAAAAATGACTTAAATCCAGTCTCCCAAAATGCTTATTACTTCATGAAACCTGATTTTCCCTTCATCACTGTGAATAATTCCTATGTTTATTCCTGTCTCTTTCTTTCCTCTTTTATTCTGTCTACTTGATATGTAGGAATTTTTGCACAGGAACATTTACATGTTTGTAATTAAGTGCCATACGTCCAGATGGGTCTTCTCTGCTCTGCCACAGTCTCCCACTCCCTATTGCTCACACCCCGTATGAAATGCCAGGCCATACTAGCCATTTGGGTGTGGCTTTCCTAACTATTCATCTCTCGCCTATCTTTATATTTTCCCTCATCCTTCCCTCCTACGCCCTTCTATATTTTTCCTCTTCCTCAGCAGTTGGCCAAGGTGTAGAACCACAGTGCACTTAAATATTTAATACTTAAGTGCTTAAATAATGATTTCAGTTTCCTGTTCCTAATGTAAGAACCAGATTCATGGACTTTTTTTTTAATCTTATTACTTTCTTTAAAATAATAATTAAAGCTATGTTTTACTCCTCTGGCTCTTGAATTCTTTTCTTTTTTCCTATGAGTTAGCAAAATTCCCTTAGAAAATTATTTCCCATTCCTAATATAACGGCTTAATAAATATGAATCAAAGAATAATAGAATATTTTACTGTTATTAGCTTTAAGAAAATCAAAGTTAGAAAAGACAAGGCTAGAATGTCTTAAATTTGAAGCCAAAATTCTAATATTTCTTCACAATCAGATTAATAGATTAACATAATTTCAAGTAATTGACTCTATTTTTCCAATATATATCAGTTTAGTCAAAGTGTTATCTGCCAACTTAGCTACCATAAATTTTCATAGAAAAAAGTGCTTATTACCTCATACTATGTACAAAAAATCAAAATGGAATGTAGACCTAAGATTATAGTTCTTACTATAAGTAGTAAGAACTAAAACTACAAAACTCTTAGAAGAAAACATAGGAGTAAATCTCTGTAAACTTGGACTAGGCAATGGTTTCTTAGATACGACACAAAAAGCACAAAGGCAAAGGAAAAAATAGATAAATTGGACTTCATCAGTATTAAAAACTTTGTGCTTTAAAGAAAGTGAAAAGACAACCCAAAGAATGGGAGAAATATTTGCAAATTATATATATGATAAGAGTCTAGTATCCAGAATATATAAAGAACTCTTATCACTCAACCCAATTAACAATGGGAAAAGGATTTGAATAGCTATTTCTCCAAAGATGATATATAAATGACCAACAAGCACATTAAAAGATGCTCAACATCATTAGCCATTAAGGAAATACAAGTCAAAATCATTATGAGATACCACTTCAAACGTAGTAGGATGGCTACTGTCAAAAAGATAGACAATAACAAGTGTTGACAAGATGTGAAAAATTGGAACCCTCAAACATTACTGGTGGAAATGTAAAATGGTACAGCCACTTTGGAAAACAATTCGGCACCTCCTCAAAAAGTTAAACATAGGGTTACCATATGATTCAGCAATTCCACTGTTGGGGATATACCCCCCCAAATTTGAAAACATACATCCACACAAAAACTCATATATAAATGTTCATAGCAGCATTATTCACAACAACCAAAAAGTGGAAACAACCCACATGTCCATTGATTGATGAATGAATAAACAAAATGTGGTATATTCATACAATAGAATATTATCCAGCCATGAAAAGTAACTGATTCATACTACAACATGGTTGAACCTTGAAAATACTATGCTAAGTGAAAGAAGTCAGACACAAAAGGCCGTGTATTCTATGATTTCATTTATATGAAATGTGCAGAATAGGCAAATCCATAGAGAAAGAAAGCAGAAGTTGTCAGGGGTTGGGGAAACTGGGAATGGGGAGTGACTCCTAATGGGTGTGGGATTTCTTTTCGGAGTGATTAAGATATTCTGGAATTAGATAGTGGTGATGGTTGTACAACTCTGTGAATGAACTAAAAACCACTGAATCGTACGCTTTCAAAGGATGAATGTTATGACACGTACATTATATCCCAATAAACTGCTATTTCCTTGTAATTGCTTATTGATAGGAAGTGCTTTGTGCTCTCATCAGTGGAGGACCTTCTTGAGATGGTGATTGGGAGTTGTCTAAGACCTGGAGGGGGTAGACTTCCATCCCAGAACACAAGGTTCTTTACCCTGGCCTTCTCCTTTGCTTCTTAATTAGTTCAGAAAATTGGCCGTGTGCTGATGTTACTTTGGGTAAATTAACTTCTCCTGACCTCAGTTTTCTTTTCTTAGGTATTCACCCAAGGGAGTTAGAACCTGGACGTTAATAGTGCACATTAGAGTCAGTGCGGCTACTATTGTGATCCCAGCTTACCAGATGGCAGACTTCGGTCCTGTTATTTAACCTTGCCAAGTCTAGTTTGTCCTCACTGTAAAGTGGAGATAATTACACCCAAAACACAGATTGTAGAGAATGAAACGATATATGTAGCAGTTATTGGGGTCCTTGACAGGGAGGACTCTGTAATTGCAGATATTGTTAGCTCAAAAGCCCCTTCCAGTTCTAAACTTCTCTGAGATGTCTAATAGAATTACAATGTAAATAGTATATATAATAAAAATAGTAACGAACACAGAGTTATAGCTTGACTTGACATTGAGCTAAAAATAATAAGAAAAAGTTGAAGTCCTCTTGTCATCCTATGCAAACAATTCCATTACAACACTGTTAACTCAAATGCTTTTTTCCGTCCTCTGACAGTTGCCTGATTTCCCAGATAAAATAGAGTGCCCAGTAAGGTTTAATGTAGTAGTTCAGTTGTTCCCGAATACACAAACATTTTCTTTCCATAATCTGGCTAGATTCTGGGCCATGACTTTCTTGCCATACTTAAGATTGCTCTCGTGGGTCACAAAATTGATGGATGTGAAAGTGGTAAGTCTATGGTAAGCCACAGCAATACTGCTCTCTCTGCCCCTTATGTTCCGAGTCACAGAGATGACACTTTGACAATGGCTCAGGGTTTTTTCCTACTAATTTTGATGTCTGCATGCTTGAGATGCTATTTCTTAGATCACCAAGCAAATGTTATTGGCATCATTTGCAAAATGACAAAATTACAGGGATGTCTCCACTGACTATTTTGATAGACTGACTTCTAACTCTCAAGGTGTCTTCCTTTGGATTCAAGCAGTAATTTATCTAAAAGTTAATTACCACCCATTGGTTCCCCCACTGAGCTAGCCCAGCAGTCTAAGTTGAGAGAGAAGAAAAGGGGGAGATCATATAACTTACACTTAGTGCAGCCACTGATTTTTCTCAGAAAATAGAGAAACAGAAATAAACCTAAGGAGAGTCTTGGTAATAATAACAACAACAAATTCCTGCAAGAAAAATCCCATAGACCTCATTGCAAGATAATGTGGTCCCATTTCATTTTTAAATGAATACATACTACGCTAGGAAACAGCAGCCTGTGATTAAAACTAGAGCCATTTAATTCCCTCCAAGCCTGTGACTATACCACAAAATAAAAAACATTCTGGTGCTCATAGGTCAGCCCATCTGTAGTAAATCTGCCAACCTGGGGAAGGGGGAGAGCAGATACACAGTTCAGATAATCCCTCTAAAACTTATTAGGGTTTCTACAGCAAGCTCGTCCTCCACCTTCAAAGATGCCCATGGGGAAACAACAACCCATGAACACAAACAAGTGACACATTATGTTGAATCATAATTTTGAATAAATGAAAATAATACCATTCAACAAATTATTCCATCGTACCAGCAACTGGTAAATTATGCAGGCCTCATCAAAACAGTTGACATGCACAATAACATGAAGAATAACATTACTCTATCTTGAGCTTGTTTTGCCATCTGTGAGACTCCGTAATTAATCATCCTACCATGATTTACCATTTTGTCAAACTGGAATATGGCATGTAGGTCCACAGGCTTTGTGATATAGACACATATTAGACAAATTGATTCAGAAAAGGGAACCAAAACAAATTCTAAAAAATTTGGGGTGTATTAAAATGGAAATATTTGGCATTCAAATAGATGACCTATTATGAAGTCTAAGCATCTGCATACTTTTTTGAAAGGGAATGAACTCCAGAGCCAGACAAGCTGGGTTTGAACTTTGGTTCTGCTAATCTGTATGACCTTGGGCAATTTAACTTCAGTTTTCTCAATAGTAAAATGGGGATAGGAGTAATACCTATCTTGCAGCGTTGTAAGGAGAATTAAATAAGTTAACATGTAAAACACTTAGAACAGTGTGCGGTGCATGGGAAGCACTATATAAGAGCCCATTGTCATTATTTCTATGCTACCAAAGGTGGGGCTCCAGTAGGGCGCCATTTTAGCATGACCAACACAAAATGAGCCCCTTGCCTTGGCACTTCTGGATGCTTGGACCCAAAGATCCAACCTGACTAATGATCTGGACCAACAGATGAGCCCTTCTACTAGCAATGTAAGGAGGAGCGCGTGAGTTCTCTTTTGTGCAGGTACCTTCAACTCCTGAACATCCAGGGGATGAGGAAGAGCCTGCTCTGGATTAGCAAACATTAATTAACTAAGAAATGCCGTATGGGGACTATGCATGCTTCACCACTTTGCAGCAAATTGTGATACAGTAGAGTCTACCTACAATAACATTTATAAACATTTTTGATAATTCAGAAAGCACATCAAGATCCAATAATATTCCAGAGTCTTTGCTATGAGCATTAGTTATCACTATCCTATACAAGTGCAGACATAGAAGAATAAAGAGTTGAACTTGCATCAACTATATCCTAGAAGTAGACTTTTTTTTTCTTACTAAATATCCTTGATGTGAGTATGTTTACTTACGTCTTGTGTGTTTTTCTACTTTTTTGATTGTCCAGTTGCTTGGACTCTTTCTCTTTCTTTCATGTCCTCTTTCTCTGTGAGAATGTATTGTTTACCCAGCATCCCACCACGCCACATAGACTGATTATCTGAGTGCAGCATTCCAGAATCAAACATCCACACCTAGGAAGCACTAGCAGTTCCCAACATTTTCACCTCTAAGAATAGCTTTTATTTTCTTTCCCCACAAGCGAAGTCTTAAATGATTTCCTCTAGCTAAATACAATCACTGGCTAACCATTTACTTGTTGAAGGATATCTAGGTTGCTTCCAATTTTTACCTATCATAAACAAAACTGTTTTGAACACTCATGTACAAGTTTTTGTGAATACAAGTTTTCATTTCTCCAGGATAAATGTCCAAGAGTGCAATTGTTTGGGTGTATGGTAGTACATGTTTAGTTTTACAAGAAACTGCCAAACCGTTGTCCAGGGTGGCTGTACCATTTTACACTCTCACCAGCAACATAAGAGTGATCCATTTTATCCATATTCTCACCAGCATTTGGTGGTGTCATTATTTTTCACTGCAGCCATTGTGATAGGCTTGTAGTAATATCTCATTGTGGTTTTAATTTGCATATCTCTAATGGCTTCTGATGTTGAACATCTTTTCACGTGCTTATTTGCCATCTGTATATCCTCTTCAGTGAAATCTCCATTCATGCCTTTTGCCCATTTTCTAATTACATTGCTTTTTACTGTTGAGTTTTGAAAATTCTTTACATATTCTAGATACTAGTCTTTTATCAGATATGTGGTTTGCAAATATTTTCTCCCAGTCTGTAGCTTATTTTTTCATCCTCTTCACACAGTCTTTCTCAAACCAATAGTTTTTAATTTGGTGAGGTCCAATTTCTCGATTTTTCCTTTTATGAATCAGGTGTCAGGTTTGAGAACCCCACAGCAGGAGTCATCGTACTAGAACTCGGGTGACCAACTCATCTGGGTTTGCCTGGGACTTTCCTGGTTTTAGCTCTGGAAGTCCCACCTCCTGGGAATCCCCTCAGTCCTGGACAAAGCAGGACAATTTGTCACCCTAACTAGAACCAAAGGAATCCCGTCCCCCTTTTGCACCGGAGCAGCCTCAGCTGAATAGTGGAGGGGCT